GAGCCTTGCATCCTTAGCTTCCTCCTCTCCCTAGGCACCTCCTGGAACTCTTAGGGCACTGAGAGGCAGTCTGAAGATTGCTCGTCTTATATATTATCTTCTGGACCTGCCCAATTATGAAATTAAATGATTTGAAACTACACTAAAATGTACCTAGCTGGTTTACAGATCTGGATTTATAGTGGGCCAAATTACTCTTCATTTATATGAGATATATATACAAATACTGGTCAACTGATTGATCAGTGTATATTAATACATGGTTTTCTTATCAAAATGCTAAGGTAAGAAAGTCAGAGTCCCCTACTCTTACCTCCCAGACTCAGCGCAATAGGGAGTAGGCATCAGCTCCTATGAAAAACCAGAGACAGGAAAGAACCGTGCCTCCCTGCAAAGACAGTACAACTGAGGATATGCTGTCACTGAAACCACGCAAAGCCTGCACTGAGGAGGAGAGCAGCACTGATATAAAAGAGAAAGAACCACAGACTGAATCTGGGTTTGGCAGAAAGGCGCTAAAGTGGATCTGGATTTGTCATATCTCCATTTCCAACTTGCTTAAACAACCCATTCAACCTGTCTACACGTCATTTTTTTCCCAAATATTGAATGAGGATATCTTAAGGTTCTTTCAAGCTCTAGAATTCTGATTTTAAACATTTTTTTTTCAAGTGTGTAAGACATGTTTTAAAGCTACTACTTGCGGTATTTGTTCTAACTTAAAAGAGGTCATTTTTAGCAATAAACATATTCAGCTCAAGACCAATATCCAAACCAAAAGAAAACTTACTCAAGTCATAAGCTAGTTTTCAACTCAAATCTTTTTTTTATTAAAAGGAATAAAATTTTATAAAAGGAATAGTTACCAGAGGTGGAAGAACAAAGGCCAAACAAAATACTGATAAACAAGTAATAACCTAATGTCAGGGACTGAAGTGATTTTCAAAATATATTTTTACAAAAGACATCCAGCAGACTGAGCCTGCTGGTTGTTTCCTAGCCCAGCCTATATCACTGGGTAATTAGTGGTGTGTATTCTCTACCCACTCATTTCACAATCTAAGCCCTTTTCAAATGTAAATCTTGATTGCTGAGCCTCTTAGTCTGCAAGTCTTGATGGGCACCCATAGGAGTTCAATAACCATTGGAATATTTTTTTTTTTTTCTGAGACAGAGTCTTGCTTTGTTGCCCAGGCTAGAGTGAGTGTCGTGGCGTCAGCCTAGCTCACAGCAACCTCAAACTCCTGGGCTCAAGCAATCCTGCTAAAGATCAAAACCCTTGTGCTTTCCTGTTCAGGCATGGGCAGACTAGGGCCCAGGATCCAGCCCATCTCTCCCCTTCCCTCAATTTTCACTCCAGAATATGCTGGTCTGATTTCTGAAACAGAAAGTAAGGAATTAGCTCACACAATTTATGAGGGCTGGCAGCCTGAAAGTTTGTATTTTTTAAAATATTTGTTTAATTGAGATGTCGTCTCACTATGTTGCCCAGGCTGGTCTCCTGGGCTCAAGCCATCCTCCTGCTTCAGCTTCACCAGTAGCTAGGTTTAGAAACATGCCTAGGCTGGGCGCAGTGGCTCACGCCTGTAATCCTAGCTCTCTGGGAGGCTGAGGCGGGCGGATCGTTGGAGTTCAGGAGTTCGAAACCAACCTGAGCAAGAGCGAGACCCCTGTCTCTACTATAAATAGAATGAAATTAATTGGCCAACTAATATATATAGAAAAAATTAGCTGGGCATGGTGGCACATGCCTGTAGTTCCAGCTACTCAGGAGGCTGAGGCAGGAGGACAGTTTGAGCCCAGGAGTTTGAGGTTGCTGTGAGCTAGGCTGACGCCACGGCACTCACTCTAGCCTGGGTAACAAAGCAAGACTCTGTCTCAAAAAAAAGAAAGAAAAGAAACATGCCTGGCTGCCTAGACCTGGAAATATCTGCAGAGTAGGTCGGCAGGTTTACCCAAATCAATATTTCACAAGATTTATATTTCACAGCAGGGAAAGCAGCTCCCTTTAATGCTCATTTTTGAGCATTAAAGTCTCTAATCAAGGCAGGTATCATTAAAAACAATTCTCTTTGAGAAAGGAAATGCAAATGGAAGCAAAATTAATGTGGTAACTGTTTTCTCTTGGGTATTAGCTGGCTTGTTCCATCAATGCTATTTTCAGACTTCAGCACAGTGCTAACAAGGTCTGCAATAAATGTCAAGAATCACATCCATCATGTGCACAGCATCGTGTTGGATGTCAACATCATCTGAACTTAAATGAAAACATGAGGCTAGAAACTTATTTTCTTTTTTTTTTTTTTTTTTTTTTTTTTTTGAGACAGAGTCTCACTTTGTTGCCCAGGCTAGAGTGAGTGCCGTGGCATCAACCTGGCTCACAGCAACCTCAATCTCCTGGGCTCAGCGATCCTACTGTCTCAGCCTCCTGAGTAGCTGGGACTACAGGCATGTGCCACCATGCCCGGCTAATTTTTTGTATATATATTTTTAGTTGGTCAATTAATTTCTTTCTATTTTTGGTAGAGACGGGGTCTCGCTCAGGCTGGTTTCGAACTCCTGACCTTGAGCAATCCGCCCGCCTCGGCCTCCCAAAGTGCTAGGATTACAGGCGTGAGCCACCGCACCCGGCCGAAACTTATTTTCTTTACCCTCCAAACTCTAAGTGGGAAAAAGAAGTGATGTGACCTAAACAATGCACACTTCCTTTCTCATCAAAGCAGAGACATGATACTTTTTTTTTTTTTTAAGGATGGGGTCCTGCTATGTTGCCCAGTCTGGCCTGGAACTCCTGAGCTCAAATGATTCTGTCTCAGCCTCCTGAGGAGCTGGGACTATAAGCATGCGCCACTGCACCCAGCTAGACATGATACTTGTAAGTTACAATATGATCTCAAAAAATACAAACTTTAAAAACATCCTTCTTTTTTTTTTTGAGACAGAGTCTCATTCTGTTGCCTGGGCTAGAGTGAGTGCTGTGGTGTCAGCCTAGCTCAAAGCAACCTCAAACTCCTGGGCTTGAGCAATCCTCCTGCCTCAGCTTCCCGAATAGCTGGGACTACAGGCATGTGCCACCATACCCTGCTAATTTTTTCTATATATTTTTAGTTGGTCAATTAATTTCTTTCTGTTTTTAGTAGAGACAGGTCTCGCTCTTGCTCAGGCTGGTTTCGAACTCCTGACCTTGAGCGATCCACCCCGCCTCAGCCTCCCAGAGTGCTAGGATTACAGGCATGAGCCACCACGCCCAGCCTAAAACACCCATTTTTTTCCAGTGGAACCTAGAAAACCCAACTAACCCTCCTCTGCATCCACTAGATCATAACCTAAATGAAAATTTCAAATCCAGTAATATTGTAGATGGGTTCAAACAAATCCTAGCTTATTCATTAGGCTATCACTCCCATTTAGATGGCAGCTCCTACTCCTCAGTGGC